ACCCTGGAACTCCATCTCCATGGACCTCATCGAGCAGCTTCCGGACTCCGATGGTTTCACCGCATCCTCGTCGTAGTCGACCGCTCACCAAGCAGTCCATTTTCATACCTACGCACGACACCCTTACCGCTCCGGAACTTGCGGACCTTCGTCCTCCATGTATTCTCAAGCACGGAGTTCCCTCGCACGTTACCTCCGATCGGGCTCGGAGTTCGTGTCCCATTTCTTCCGCTCACTCGGTAAAGCCCTCGACATGCGCCTTCACTTCACCTCCGGTTATCATCCGGAAGGCGATGGCCAAACCGAACGAGTCAACCAGACCCTGGAACAGTACATCCGGGTCTACTGCAACTACCAGCAGGACAACTGGTCGCGTCTCCTGCCCTTGCGGAGTTTGCTTACAACAATGCTCGAATGCGACCACCGGAATTCGCCCTTCTTGCCAACAAGGGTACATCCGGCCCTCGCTGTTCATCCCGAACGCGATCTCACTTCCGCGCGCACGCGAGTTTGTCGTCGACTTAGACGAATCCATACCTTGCTCCGGACGAATATCGTTCAGGCCAAGCCGGTACCAGGTCCAAGCGACAAACACCGGCTCCGGCTCCGGACCTTAAGGTCGGAGATACCGTTTCGTCAAGCCGAACATTCCGCTCCACACGTCCGCAAAGAAGTTCTCCGAAAGAACTAGGACCTTATACCATTATCGCCAGCCGGTTCACATTCCTTCACTCTTCGACTCCCAGACACTATGCGTGCTGTCACCCAGTCTTCCACGTCTCACAGCTCGAGCCCGCAACTCCGACACCATACCAGGACGGGTTCAGTCTCCACCTCCGCCAGTCCTTATCGACGGAGAACCGGAGTTCGAGATCTCCGAATCCTGGACTCCAAGATTGATCGTCGACGTCGTGCCTGCCAGTATTATATATGTACGCTGGGCTGGTTACGAAGAACTGACGAGGAAACCTCCTGGATTCTCGCCACGGAACTCGAAAACGCTGCGGAGCTCGTCTCAGACTTCACGCCGCATATCGACGAAACCCGGACCTTTAGCCTCACTTCCGTAGTCTCCGACTCCGTTGCAATTCTTACGGGCAGGACCACACCGGAGTTACATTGAAGGAAAAAGAAAACAATTTTGGGGCTGTGCCCGTATTCTACCTCCTCACTACCGACCTCTCCTCGTTCTCCGGGTCGTACTCGCTGTCGGAGTCCGACGACTCCGCTTCCTCCTCCTCCATCTCTGGAGCTCTCCGGCTCCGCGATCTTCTCCAGCTTCTCCACCATTCCCGCAAAGTGTGGGCGACCACCCTCCTCCGGTACGACTCCTTCTTCCACTCCGTCCGCGCCTCCCGGACTTCGCGACGGAGTCCCTGGACCTCCACCAGAGGCCTCGAGCAACTCGCGCTCGTCATCCGGAGCTCGAGTCCCGCTGCCAGATCGACGACCATCGCTCAGGAGCATCTCATACTCCTGAGCCACGGCCATCTTCTGGAGGATCCGGCCTCCGGCTCCGGCATCATCTCCACGTCGGAGTCCCGACCACGGACTTCGACTTCTTCGCCGACCTCTTCTTCGGCTCCGACTTCTTCGGCCTTCTTCGTCCTCTTCCGGGTCGTCTCCGGCTTCTCCGTCGAACCCTTGCATGCCGCCTTGTCGCGCTGGCATGCGACGCAGGACTTCTTGCGTCCCACGTTCTCGAAGATGCACTCCAGGCCCTTGACCCGGCACCGGTCGCACTCCGTGCTTGTTCCCTTAGCCCCGAATCCCGGACCATGGCATTGGGTACTCACTGGATCACTCCGGACGACTCCGGCTCCTCCGTTGCCTTCCGCTTCTCCGCCCGCGCCTTCCTCAACTCCTCCGCCCTCTTTTCCTCCACGGCCTTCTCCTCCGCCGCCGCACTCGCCCTCTGCTCCGCCTCGATGCGCTTAGCGCGCTCCTCCGCCTCCTTCCGCTCCCGCTCCTCCGCTTCCGCACGCGCCTTGCCTCGCCTCCGCCTTCTCCTTCGCCTCGCCTCCGCGCGACGTCGCGCCTCCTTTGCGGCCTTCGCTGCGTGAGCCTCTTCTCCAGCTCCTCGATGTCGTCGGCGGCGGGGTCGGGTTGTGGGTACAGCGTCGGACATGGTGGGGCAACGGAGTACGGGAGTGGCGAGGAGATGTGGGAGTGGAGTCAAGTGTGGAAGATGCGGACTCCGAAATTTCACCTTATATCCGTTCAGATCTCAGATCTCGGCACTTGCCATCGCCTATGGATCTCAGGGTTCGATCCAGTTGGGAGGCACTGTCACTTCCGTGCACCAACCACCTCCGAACTCCAGTTCGTTTTCTCCGTCTCCGTTCTCCGAACTCCGGTCTAATTGTATTCGCTTAGCCTATCTTCTCCCGCATTACAATTAGGTACCGCATGGTCTCTATCTTGCACGGACATTAGCTTATTGTATTCACCCCGGTTACTAACATCTCCGGTCTTCCGTTATTGTTTCCGTTATCCCTTCCTCCGACTTATTGTCTTCCGTTCACATTAGGACTCTAGTATAAAGACCGAACTGTAGCACTGTTGTACTCCAGTTCGAATATCTCGTTTATCCTCGTCTAACCAATCCGATTTCCTTTCCTCCGAACTCCTGTCTGAACTCCGGACTTCGTCCGACCTCTGTCTAGTTCTCTCGCTCTCGTCTTCTCCTCCTCCTTCCTCCGACTTATTCCGGACTCCGTCATAGTCCACCTCGTCCAAGTCCAATAGAGGACCTCGTCGAGTTCTCCAGGGCGTTGTTAATAGCTTCGCCAAGTCCTCATTCCACTGCGCTCCGAAACTCCGGACTTCGTAACTCCGACCTCGGACTTCGTCTCGAGCGCACGATCCTAACACCATGTCGGCAAACGGCCACAAAGATCCCAGTGATGGAGAACAGCGCAAACATCTTCTTTAGCGCCTCGGGCCAGCGTTGCGCCAGCGTTCCATGCAGACAGTGACGGGCTCGGCGAGAACGTCGCCTTGATTGACATTGAGCCAGTCCATGTCATCGTCTTGTGGAGCAGCCGCGCCTTGGGTACTGTTGGAGGACGATGGGCCGGCATCGCCAGGCACTGATGTGGCAGGCTTCGGCGGCCCCTGGTTGGATCAATCACCACGTCATCTATCAAATGTTTGATGACGTTGACGTGACCGAAAAGAACACAAAAGCCACACAAAAACCCAACCATGAGGTCGAGCAGTGGTATGCGAGGCCTCTGCGTCTATGAGATGTACGGGGGACTGTACAGTGGTCTAGGTAAGAAGGAGGAGGACGGACAAGACTCCGAACGACGTGGGAGAGCTTCGAAGATGTCGAAGACTGTTCGAAGGCGAGGGCTAAGCCTCGAAGGTAGGAGGGAGGGTTTCGACAGACGGGTCGAACGAACGGTGACAAGGAAGGCGAGCGACGGCAGGAGAAGAAGTGTAGAGCCTCTCGGGGCAACTACGAGCTGGCGAACGTACTGGCGAACTGACTGACTGGCTTCGAACGTACTGACTGACTGGCGAACTTGCTGACTTCGAACGTACTGGCTGACTGACAAACCCCGCCGGTGCGAGGTGAGATTGAGAGGGTAAGGGGTCTCTGAGATTCGAAGGGAACAAGTCCCAGAGTATATACAGGAAAATACGGTCCGAAGACCAAGAGAGCCAAGAGAAATACAAGAAATGATGAATGAAAGTGATAAGGAAAGCAGCCAATCGGAGAATGTCACAACGCTCGACCCGGACCTACTAACACATGAGAGAATCCAACTCGGCCTTCCGCAGGTTCCGCATAACGGGCGACCGTCCCCGAACGGCGAAGGTCATAACCGGAGCCGGTGACAGTCCTCGAAGATATGAGACAGCTGCAGGAGTTCGCCTGACTTACACGAACATGCCGCACCTCGACCCAACTTCCGAAGTGTATGCTGCCCGCTACTACCGCCTCCTAGAGGTCCTCAAGACCGAGGGACTTGTCGAGCCGCGATACGATGCCAACAGTCCCGGAGAGTGGCTGGCTTGGGCCCACGGAGTCCGTTGGATGATCGTACGTGCCTCCGAACTTAGACTACCGTTCGAACCATCGAACCGACCTTCGAACAGCGATTCTTGTTCGAGTCCCGCAGCCGGGCCATCCTGCTGGCGAACGATACGCTTCCTGCTCCTAGGTCATTCCCCGAGATCGACGAGTTGATGCGTTACCTTGATGAGGTCTTTCACCGTGATGGCAACCAGGGGACATCCTAGGTTCGCCCTACCCTACGATCGCATGGTCCGAGACCTTGGTACTGCTCGAACAAGTCAACCAGGCCGAGCGTTGTCCTCTCGCGAACCCGCAGTATCAGCGCGAGTCGTTGATCCTGTCCGACTTTTGCCAGCTGCCCGACAACCTCAAGTCCATGGGTCGAACGATTCACAACATCGCAGTCGACCAGCGCCGCACGCACGGCACCCTCGTCGGGTTGCTCAAAAGCCTGCTCGAGCGCGTCAACACTGACCGTGGCTCCGACACCGGTCCGTCTGTTCGTAGGGGTAGGGGTGGTGGTCACAGGTGTGGTGGTCGAGGACATAGATACGAGAGTTGCCGGGGTCGTCACTAGCTAGGTTGACGTAGCCATGTACTTGCTCCGGAGTCCTACCAATGTAGCGACACTTCTAAACCGCTTGCCTCTGCCACTAAGGGTTCCGAACATTGACGCTTGAGCTTCGAACATCGGGCGGTTCCCTCGAACGGACGGACAGTGCGTCGACCGTTCTGACTTAGTGTACCGTTGTATCGACCGTAAATGGCGTTTTCGGTGGGTAGGTGAGCTAAGGGCTCATCAACGTACTCGGCTCGAATGGACATCATCCTTGTAGACGTCAACCTCCTCTGGGGATAGCCAGAGGTCTGTGCGCGCGGTGCGGGGATCCTCACGTGTGTGTGCCAGGGCGGAATGCGTCATCGACGAGCTTGAGGGACTGGTTACCGTCCATGGTGGCGAGGAGAGCTGGGGTCAATGGATCTTCGCCTCGAGCACATAGAGGCAGGGTGCACAGGCATGCCGCATGCGCCAATCCGGGAGGTCGTGCCCAAGCGCTGTGTTGATGAGGCTGTTGACGCGATATAGAATGTCGAGATAGATGTCGTAGGCAATACGGAATTGTGTACAGAGATAGGGCTTGTATGGAACCTAAAGGGATAGTGATCAATGACATGTTCCAAAAGAAACATATGACTTACAGCCTGCAGGCGGCAGAGGGCTTTCACCTGCACCTGGATGCTGAATCGAGGGCAGGCATGATGCTGGGCGCGGAAGGCCTCAAGGACATGGAAGGAGATCGCGACGGAGGGTTCGAGGGGTGCTGTACCAATGTAGCCGTACCGAGTGAGTGTGGGGTTGATGCGCATGTTGACGCCACAGGCCACAAACGTCTTCAACTCACTCCCTGTACATCAGGAAATCTGGATTCCCTAAACTTGACTATCTTAGTTCTAATTAGTCTCATCGTCCTAATGACACTCTCATTGAGCATGATTAGTACTAATCAGGATAACATGCATAATCTAGTTCATACTATGAAGATCTTATTCATGTTAGTTGTAAATGTTGATAATAGTTCATAATCCTCAGCACATTGAGACATACATATGACTACTGTACAGCTATGCCTGTCAAAATGTTGAACCACATGGAAAGTAGAGCATTCTTCAAAACAATACTAGTGATCCATTCACAAGATGCAACTGGCCCCAGTCATAGATATCACAAATGGAATGAAGAGACTATGATATCAACAGCTCATACATGAGCTCTATTTAGTATACAGATATGAGACAGAGGCAAACATCGAGAGAGGGGCTGGCAGAAACAATATATCTGCATGTGGCTAATTGTCCTTCAAACAGAGTGTTCAGTCGGCAAGCAGGCAAACGAGCAAACAAATGAATGGGTACGTGAACGAATGGGCGGGACGGCGGGACAGCGAGCGAATGGGTCGGCGGGCAGACAAACGAGGGAGCATCAGGCCAGCGCGAGCAGGGAAATGCGATGCGAGTGCGAGAGTAATTGACCCACTGAACATACCCTTGGCAAGGCGGGTACGGCCTGCACGGTGCACATACGTCTCGGCGCTCGGGAGCTGGATGACGCGTGAGGGTAGTCGACGCCGCGCGCAGATGCGTCCAAGGTGACGAGGACCGTGCGCTTGCTTGCGACCGGAACGATGCACCGGTCTTGTCATATCGCACCGCACTCAACTTGCTCAGACGGTCCTCCTCCACCTTCCGCTTCGCCGCTGCGCGCTTCTCCTCTTCCTCCTCCTTCTGCTCGCGCTTCGCCTCCTCACTATTCTGCGTCACAATCTCTTCGCGCACCTTCTTCGGCTTGTTCTTCGTCTCGGGTCTGAGCTGCGCGCCGAGGCCTCCGCGTATCCCGGTCGCCTTGTCCTCGCCCGCGATTGTGTCGACGAGCTGCCAGTGGAAGGCGGCTTGGATCAGGGGTAGTGTAGCAGCAGTAGTCAGACGATGGGGGTGACGTCCGCGACTCGGACATGGCCGTGAGCGAGGGCGGGAGGGACGACTGGTCGGTCGTCTTGGTGAAGGAGAGGTCCCAGCCGCGCGCGCGGATGCCCTCCAGCTCGTCCTTCGCGACGATGGCGAAGATCGACAGTCGAGCGTTGAAGTCAATGTCAGAAACGTGGGCGCGGACGTCGTCAAGGCGGGCGTGCATGTCGGTAAACTCGAGGTCCGGAAGGCGAGCGCACATCTAGCATGTCGGGGATGCACGCCTGAATCTCGTCGGACTCAGGTACGTCCGGTATGTGGAGACGTGGTGGCGTAGCGAGGCGGGTCAGATGTTCAGAGAGGGGCGCAAGGATTGGCAGATAGTGGTCGTCCGGGGAGCACGGCGAGCACCTCGGTCAGCGGCCTCTGGCATTGAGTGACGAAGTGGCTATACCACGCGATGTGCTGACAGGGCGCGTGCGTGTACGGTCTTCGGATCGAAGCAGAAGTGGGCGAGTAAGCGAAGGGCTGGATGAGCGGGCGGACGGACGAACGAGCAGGCGTGTGGGTGGCCAGACCAGATGGACGAACAGGCCGGCGGACAAGCGAGTGAGAACGCGAACAAGTGGGCATGCAAGTAATTGAGAGGGCAGGCGAGCAAGTAGGGGTCGAGCCGGTGGGAGAGTGGGCGAGCGAGCGGCACAGCGAGCTATCTGCCAATGAGCCAGCACGGGCATGCACTGAAACCACACGCAGCGAAAGGAAGGTACATCGAACGGGGGCGCACCTTTGGTTTCGAGCCTTTGCGCTCGCTGTAATTTCCCGAGTTGCCCTTCAAGCTTCATGTTCCACCCACCCTCTATCTCCCCCTTCCGCGTTCGTTTCTGTATGACCAGGAGATGGCGCGGGAGCTTTGACACGTGGGGGTCGGCCATGGTAGTTGGTAGTAGCAGTCGTGGTGAGCCGCGAGTTGAAGACGACGGTCCAGTGAGTGGGCAGATACAGTAACCACGCGGATGGCGCGGAGACGGGCGGACGAGCGAGTGTAAGCGAATGGGCAAGACAGTGTGCGAGTAAGCAGATGAGTCGACGCGTGCGGTGAGTGGTGGGCGGGCGAGATGTCATTTGGACTCTGGCGGTCGTCGAGTCGTTGTCGAGAACCGGGCTCGGGCGCTAAAGACTTGGCTCACGTCTCGCAGTAGTGCCACGTCGCCAGCATCCGCCCCACCCTCCTCGCGACTACCTTCCCGCACCCACCCCTCCTGTGCATGCCCATCCTCTCGCGCCCTCTCGCTGTCTCGTTTCCACCTGCTCTCACCTGCCCGCTCGCTTGCCCGCTTCTCCCGCCGCCCGCTTACCCGTCCTCGCTGCCTGCTCACCAGCCTTCGCTGCCTGCTCACCAGCCTTCGCCGCCTGCTCACCAGCCCTCGCCGCCTACTCGTGGCACTTCATCGACCGTCTCGCCCGTCTCGCCCACTGGGACCTCCCTGTCTGGCGCTCTCGCCGTTTCTCCGCTGCTCACCGTTCTCGGTCGCTAACTTGCTTGTAGGCTGTCGACCTGCTCGCTCGCCCGCTCGTCCCCTGCTCTTGCTCACCCGCCTGCTCACTCTCTTCCCAGCTTTCCTGTCAGCTAGCTCGCTCACCGGCTCGGTGGCCCGCTCTCACCCTCTCCCTTGCTCACCCATCTGCTCGCGCACAATCTGTCTCACTCTCTGATAAGGTAGTTTACTTGAGTAGGTGTGTCGACGAACCGTTGTGCCTACTTGCCCAGCAGTCCGCGCAGTGTCCGTCCTGCTCTCTCGTGCCCCCCCTTTCGCGCCCGCCCGCTCTCACGCGTCTCGTCCGCCGTCTGCCTACCAACACCCTCGGTAGCTGCCCACTGTCACCTCTTCGCTGGCTTGTCCACCCTCCCGATCTTGCTTGCGCGCTCGTTCTTGTCCTCTCGCCCCTCTTGCCAGCTCACGTACTTCTCTACTCGCTTGCCCGCCCTTGTCTGTCCGCGCTTGTGTCCCACTAGCTCGTTCGTCCACCCGCTCTTTCCCGTCCGCCTGTCTTGCCCGCCCGCACCCTCACCCTCCTGCCAGCTCACTTGTGCGCGTGTTCGCTCTCGCCTCTCCCACCCGCTCGCCCTGTCTCCTCTGCACGCCCTCGCGGTTGCCTACGAGGTTGATAGCGACAACTTTGCATCTGATGGCAACGGTTCCGAGCTCATTGGCCTTCTCAAGACCTTCAACTTGGACACCATGTATACTACGTACGATGCGCAGGCTCTCGGCGTGCAAATGCCGCTGCGCGACCACCGGTATCTCTTTCCCGGCGATGTTAAGGTACGTATGTTAGAGTTGCCCTGTATTGATATTGACCTACCCACCCAGCACGTTTCCGCAATGGTACACGCCTTCAAGCGTGCACTACCACGAGCACATTGATAGCTCCAATCGGAGCGGGGACTGTAGTCGACGAATGGGTGGCGGTGAGTACAGATGCAGACAGATGAATGAGCTGACTGCCCGCACAGGGTGCGGCGGCGTGCAGCACAACATGTACGACGACCGCGGGCACGCAGGGCTAATGCCCTGCGTGTTAGACACGGCCGATGGGCAGTCGACGAGTAGGCGGGCGAGTCGTCGGATGGCGGATGAGCAGGTGGAGCGGGCAATCCGACAAGTGGGCCAGCGGGTGTGCGAGTGAACATGCAGATGAGTAGGCAAGCGGGCGGGCAGGTACAGGGCTGACGGACAAGCAAGCAGACGGGAGAACTCGCGGACGGGCAGGCACACGGGCGCGGCAACCGTGAGCGTGCTGGGTAAATGCCTAGTGCGCAGACCGGGCTACCAAACGCACGCGCTGGCGGGGCGGGCACACAGGCCAGCAGTTAAACGAGTGGGGTGTACGTGCAGGTGAGCAAGTGGGCGTACGTACAGGTAAGCGGGCAGGCAGGTGACCTGTCCTAGGCTGAGGGTACGGTAGATTACTACGTACACTGTTGTTGCTCAGTAGATATGCATCTGGAATACAGCCTTTGAATCATTTATTGTGGTGGTGCGAGCATGCGCTCACTCTCCTCTACTTGATGTATTGAGGACTCATGGTGAAGGATCATAGCTAATGTATACGGGATTGTCAGAGGATTACATCTCAGATAGCTCTCATTAGAACTCATTAGGACGTCATTAGGGACTAATTAGTACTAATTATTTTTGGGGTAAAGGAATGGTGGCTAAGAGCTAAAGCTTCTAATTTGTACTAATTGTATCAAAATATGTCTCATATACTCCAATCACGTCTCATTAGGGAATTCAGGTTTTCCTGATGGAACTACCGACGCTATCGCTGCCGGGCCCGCCAATGTCGTCACCTTGTACATCTGATAGCGTGGATCAGGAGCAGCGGTGAACTTCGACAGCCACTCGATGTAGACAAGATGTTGTGGAGGTTCTAAGTTGCCGCGCGTTCTCGTGGAAGAGAAGAGCAAGGGCCATGCTTTCTTAGGGATCGAGAAGACGACGCGCACGCGTCCTACACGCACATCAGGAAAAAGATGATCCCTACATGAGCCAATATAGGGCACATAGCTGGTATAGGCTCATCGGAAACCCCTATGTGTATAGCACTGTATAGTATGCTTGTGGAGACTATAGTGCGTGATAGTGCCACCACAATCGACGTAGAATAACATAGTACATGATAGAATGGTAGTAGGATAGACCCATAAGCCAACATACAGTGACATATACTATCATAGCAGATACCTCAAAGCATAGTACTGATTGTACTGGTCACTCAAAGTTGTCGGCAGCTCATATAATGAAAAGGACACATCATTGAATGTATGAGATTACGAGATGATACAGTATTACAACTATAACAACAAGTGCCATATGGCCCGTAGACTCCGAGAGCCAGGGCTCAGGCTATAGCAAAGCACTAATCTACCTGTGGGTGTCCCATGTTCAACCCATACCCGTACCTGCTCCAAGTACCAACCCACCGTGGCGGCTCCGAGTATTGTGCAGGTCCACGCAGGTTGTATTGGTTATGCACTTCATAATCAGTCACGCACAGGATGCGCGAGTGGGTGGGTAAAATCTGGCATGCGGGTGAGAGCAAGCATGCAGGCGAGAGCAGACAGGCGGCGAGAGCAGACAGGCGGCGAGAGCAGACAGGCGGCGAGAGCAGACAGGTGGCGAGAGCAGACAGGCGGGCAAGAACAGAAATGCGAGCAAGAACAGATGGGCGGGCAAGAACAGACGGGCAGGCTAAAGCAGACGAGCGAGCGAGAACACCCGGGTGAGCGAGAGCAGACGGGCAGGCGAGAAGGTGCATGTGAACAGGCGAGTGAGTGGCCGCGCAAGAGCAGGTGCGTAGTCGAGTAGGTGAGTGGGCAGGAAGGAGGGCGAGGCACAACACGGCCGTCGGTCTCACCATGATGGCGGGCATCCTGCCACCTGCGTACATGTGGTAGAGGTAAGTTGCAGAGGCGGGCGGGTTCCTCGAGGTCTTCGGACCACTGTCAAACTTCTGGAAGTAGGTTGGCGGGTGATGCTGCCCATGGAGACCGCATTTGAGGCTGGACGAGAGCAAGGTGAGACGGTCTGGTCAGGCCTGAACGTGAGATCACCAGTGCTGATGGTGCTGCCGTTGACATGAAGGTGGCGAGGTTTGCGCAACCGGTGTACTCGCCGAAGGTAACACGAGGGTGAGCTAGTTAGTGGGCGAGAGCGGGCGGGCGGGACAGGCGAGGGCGAGGGGGCCAGCTGGTAGTTGTCCTAGCAAGAGCAGACGTGTTAAGGTTACACAGTCTCAGTCTCGACCTCGTGGTACTCGACTTGTTATTACTCTACCTGTTAAGGTTACACAGTCTACGAAATACAGTATGAGTGCTCAAAGTCCATGAGAAAATGCTACAAACGAGCTTACCTCAGTCTCGACCTCGTGGTACTCGACTGAGGTAGCAGTACACTAAACGCGTCCGTTACAGTCCGTTCGCTAGTCACGTGTCCGCGTCACCACAAGCGCCCGCGTCACGGTCCCACCTCAATACTCCCCCGGGCCGCGACGCGCATGTACAGTAAGTGTTTGTGTAACGTAGGTAGAGAGAGTGACTTCGTGAAAATGTCCGCAAGGTTATCCGCACCAGGGATATGAACGATCTTTAGTTGCTTACCCCGAATCGCGTCCCGCAGCCAGTGGTACCGGATGTGCATGTGCCGGACTCGCGAGAAG